CCCCACAATGATGGAAGCGGATTGGCGAAGGCGTTTCCTTGGCTGACTTCTGATCCCCTCCTAAAAGTTTAACTTTTAAGCTCCTTCTTTTCGGTTCTTCAACAACCCAAAAGGTTAAAGTCCTAAGAGCCAGCCAGAAGAAGGCCAAGTTTCATGCTCAGGTCTGACGGGTGCTTTCCTAGCACCTCAAGCGCCAGCTGCTTCATGTTCAAACCTGTGTGATCGCCCAAACCCATGGATTGAGCACCGATCATGGGTGTCAACAGCTGGCCCGAATGCGGGCTCACCAGCTGCAAACTGACAACCAAGACGGATTCTCGTCTGGCAAAGGAGTTTCGGCCCAAAGCCATTCCATCCATCATGATAGCGAAGTCTGACGCAATGTCCAGGCCTGGTAGCCGGGTCTCCAGGTCTAGAGTGTCCATGCACTGCAGAGCACGTGCGGCAAAAAACTCTATCTCGGCACACATCGCGCGACTCTTAGGCAGCTGGCCCAAATCGACGCCTCTGCGAGCATTGCGTTCCTCACATCCACAGACGAACAAACCAAGGAACCCTCAACCCTAAACCCGAAACCCTGAACCCTAAACCCTAAAGCCATGTATTCCTGACCCTCTCACCCCTAACTTTAACAAAGCACAAGCTCGAACAAAGAAAGTGAAGTCCTATTCCTGTCAAGACTCAGCGTCACGTTCGAAGGCCTGAAAGGTTCTGCCCTCGCAGGCGTTGCTGAGGGCGATATCTACCAGGTTTCGTAGGGCAAAGTCTTGCGTGACGTCCACAATGCCTTTGTCTGGCTGGTCCTCCTTCTTGTCATGCGTCTGACTGGACTGGCTGCGTTCACCTTCATTCGGAACAGCAGCTGGAGCATTTGTCTTGCAGCTCACAGGGGCCGGGAACTCCATCTTCTTGATGCGGTCAAAAGAAGACTGGCTCACGCCAGTGAGCCCTGCTGCTACCTTCGTTTTCAAAGAAGTGCTGTGCGACTTTCGCGTCGGCAAGAAGGGAAGAATCTCTCGCAATATGTTCACAGGAAGCTTCTCTACGTTGGCAAGTACATTTGCCAGGACCACTTTGCACTGAATGTTTAAAGGCAGCGTGGATGTTACATAAGCACCACAATTCATCCCACGAGTCCATACCCCAGGCTCCTCAGTCTGGCCAGGGCAGTCGGTACATTCATGGACATCGACATCAACCATGCTTTCCAAAATCGCCCCATCCTGCTCGCTGCATTCCGGTTCCAACTGGATGACATCAGCTGTCAGGTCCAGGTCCGGGTCTTGCGGCTGGACAAGAGGAGAGCCGGTAGGCCACGACAGAGTCATGGAACTCGCATCTGACATGGCAGCAGCATCCTCCACTTCCAGCGAAATTGGCGGATCCATTCTCGCAGCCTACTGACGGCCCTTACACATGAATCCGAATCTCAAATGCATGCCTGGTTGCCTGCAGGAGTCTAGCAGAACTACCGAAATTCTTCGTTTATTATAAGTTCAGGAAAGCCACGTCTGTCTGAAACAGCTTCGGCAATGTTGCAATGCGAATGCACAGTGACACAGCCCCTGCCACACTTCACTCGGAACCCAACCGCATCCCGTTCCCAAAGCGCCACTCCAAAACCTTCCCAGATGCAGTTTGCAAGCGTGCTGGGATGCACAGTCCGGTGTCGCAGACGTCTTGCGTTGCAGCAGAGACGTGTTCAATGCTCGCGGCCTGGGCAAGCGGCCAGCAAGCAGAAAGCTCCATGATGGGGAAGGCGAGGCGTGCTATGAGGAGGTGGGCCGATGCATCGCACGAGAGTGAACCTGGACCACGCGCCCTGCAACCCAAACCCTTCCCCAAATTAGCCGGAGCACAGCCGCCAACTCGAAATCCCACGCGTGCCTGCTGTAAGGGGCGAAAAACCTGAACTCACGCACAACCAAACTTTGGATGACTCTAAACCCTTTCAACCCAGGTTCCTCTCAAAAATGCTGGGGGCCACGACGAAAAACAGATAGAAAAGATGCACCCTAAACCCAAGAAACACCCTGAACCCCAAAGCCTAAACCCGAAACCCTAAACCCTAAACCCCACACCCTCTGAGGTGCCCGGCTGACCCAGTGGAAGCCCAGCTCCCAAGTTGTACTCCTTGGACCCGGAACTGTTGCTTTGCGTATGTTTAGAGGGCCTTCGGAGGGGTTTTCGGGGTTTTCGGGGTTTTAGGGTTTAGGGTTTAGGGTTTTCGGTTGCTGGGTTTTAGGCCTGGTTTCTTTTTTTTGGTCCCAAGGGCGGGGGGGGGGGGGGGGGGGGGGGTTGGGGATTAGGGAGGTTGAGCACAAAACCCTAACCCTAAACCCAAACCCTAAACCCTAACCCTAAACCCTAGAAACTAAGGGAATCACGCACTGTTCGGGCACTGGGCTTCTGAGGAGGGGCCCAGTCTGGGTGTCTGAAGTCTACCCTGTGTGACATCATTCACTACGCAAATGCTTGAATCATTGGCGGTCGAACGGGGAAAGCTGGGCAACCGGCCTTGATGGCAACCCGATGCGCCGTGGCCTGGGCAAGCAGGGGGCAGCGCTTTCTGGGCCTGGGCCTGGGCCTGTATAGTTATAGAGTGTTTGTTATTCATGAGCAGGCAGTCTGGCAGTTCGATGCATGCCCACTGGCATCACCCTTTCTGTTCTCAATCTCAGCAGAAGCGGCCATCGCAAATCAAGGTTGGTAATCCAGAGCCCACGCTTTTTACTGGTAACTAGCTGGTAATGCTACTGTCTATCCTGTGTCTGTGTCTACGGTGCCACGTGAGCTCAGGATCACGGAAGATTTCTGTGTCACTGTCTGACAAAACGACACTATAGCAGTCTGGCTTCAAGAAGCTACTACCATTCAGTTCTGGATGTCTGAATCTGCTGCGGGCTCCACCCCTGGCGGTGTCTTGCGTTTCTTGTTGGCATCTCCCAGACTCTTCTCCAGCTTCTGGCAATGCTGTTTCATGTGCTCAAGGCGAGTCTCGGTCTCCAGGATGTCGTTCTTCAGGAAATCGATGCGCTCCTTCACGTCTTGGTCATGAATTTTTTGTAAGATGTCTGGCACTTGCATCGTCTCAACCACGTTGACGACAATCGTGATGCCTGCCTGGCCTACCACGGGCGGGCAGTTGGTCGGCTGTGCGAACCAGAACTCCTTGGCTGGCATCCCTGCTGCATGAAAGGCTCTTGAACAACCTTGTCTTGTCAAGTGTCGCTCCTTGCTAACGTGGGTGCTAAATGGCCAAGCATCTGACAGGGGCGAATCGTTGATGCCCACAAAGGTCATCTTGGATGGATTGTCGGACCCCAGAACGTTGAACTGAATCCTTGGTCGGCCCAGGCCATGAACAGCACATCCTGCAGGCGCGCACGCACACAGACGCCTACCTCTCAGATGAGAACAGACCTGCCGAGACACGAGTTCTCCGAGCCCTTGTCTGTCACCCATGCCAACATCGCCAACGTGGAAGGCTGGTGCCAGAACATCCGCCATGGTTTTTGGACGAAGCCAGCCGGCTTCACCCGGACGTGGCGTTTCACCAGCAGCGACGTCCGCTGGTACACTTGGTCTTGCGCAGGGCTGAACCAGCGCAATGCAGTCTGGCACAAATCTTGCGGCAAGCTCAGATCCGAAGAGATGGTAGCGCTCAAAAGCACGCAGCGCTCAAGATTTTCCTTGTTGCTCAAATCCAACATGGGAATGCTGAGCGACTCTCCGTCCTGCAAGATTTTGGCCCCCTGCTTCTGACACAGCACCTGCAAATTTTCCGTCAACTTCAAGACGTGGAACTTTGTGCATGTCAACACCGTGGCCGAGTTCGAGGAGGGGTCTGGCCGAAATTTGCCCAAGTTCTCGGACAGGTTCACGCCGAACCTTGGACAGAGAACGATGAAGGGAAGATTATCTAGCTGCTAGCTAAGCTCTGCGGTGAGTCTGCATTACTGTACATCGAGCGCGTTCCTGCTTCTGAGGGCTGCGGTCAAGGCGCTCGCGGCCGCGCCACTTCATGAAAGACTTGACGGCGCCCTCGAGGGTCGGCTTCAAGACAAGGTGTCGAAGGATAGGGGTGGCCAAGTCAGCCTCAGGCGACCACACAGTGAAGTACTCAGCGGCTGTCATGGTCGGTCACAAGGCAATATTGAACACGAGCTTGGGGATCGATGCTGGCAGCGGTCTGTCAGGGCCCAGATTGCTGCAACATTGGTGAAGGCTCACGAATGGAAGCTGCGAGATCTTGCGACCTTCTGACGCGCCAGCGCCCCCAGTAACACAATGCAACGCAACTGCTGACGCGTGACGGGCCCCCAGGTTTGTCTCTCCTTCGCTCCCGTGTGCACAGCTTGAGGGGTTGTTGCTGCTGCAGACTGTGCTGTGGTGTCAGCACGAGCCCCTTGAAAATGATGGCAGCTAAGTACTAGCCTAGATCAAGAAGATGCAAATTCACAGCAGGCTCGTCTGGAAAACACTGACACACACACACACACAAAGACACACGCACACGTGTCCGAGAGACAGAATGTCTGACTAGGGATCGGTCCATTAATAGACCTGAGCTGTCGGCCAGATCACAAAATGAGCCTGGTTGTGGCCTGATGAACAGGCTGCGAACTTTCCCACAGTCTTACCCCCCCTCTTAACCCCGAAGCCTTGAAACCAAGCCTCAGAACCCTAAACTTTCTAACGAAAAGTATTTATAATAGAGCCTGAAACCCTAAAAAATCTAATCCAGCCCCAAAGTTTAAAAACCCTATGAGATCAGTCACGGGCCACGGGCTCTGATGTCTGGCCAACGACTACTGCATCTGTATCACGTCCGTGCAAGGAACAGCATCAGGGCTAAGATCAATGATAAACAAACAAGTAATGCTGTAGTGTAGAACAGCAAGAACACCCTGGGAAAGTATCATGTCGTGATGAAGTACAAGCACGTCAAGCCCCACAGTCTGACGCTGTACAAAATTTTGCACGGCAAGGCTGACAGACTAGAGCTGCAAAATGCCGCTCGAGCAGGGCACGATGACCTGCTTATCCAGGACAAGAGCCAGCTTTTGTGGGGTGACTCTGCCATTCAGAACCTTGACAGCCCACATCCACTTCACTTTGGAACTCTTTTCCACCAAGGCATGAACCTGCGCACCACCATGTCAAGAAGAATCAATTACAATTACTCCTCATGGCTACTAAACCTTCAACGCAAAAATCATGCACAATCTGACAAAGGCCTGCTTCTGCAAGCCGTCTAGCACAAAGAAGATGTTGGGCTTCGTCATTGTCCAAGCACTCACAGATGCATCTCGGGCGAACTTCGGATACTTCCAGAACTCCTTCACGTCCTTTTCCTGGGCCAGCGCCTCCACGGAAACCATCCTCAGTTTGTTGAAGTCGCCGTCTGGCCCATCCGCCACGATCACTTGCGAGTTCAACTTGTACACGTACTCGAAGCTGTCTGGCGGCTTCTCGTGGCATTGCTTCATCTTTCCATCGGCTGTCAGGTGAAGGATTGTTCCGGGGAAGATTTTTTTGTTTGTGGTCATGCGATTCTTCTGCAGGGAAGTGATGAGGAGCTCTGGCGACAGGGCGTAGGTGTATTCCTGCGAAACGAAGGTGGCAAGGGTACCTTCCGGGACAGGGTCCACCTCATTCTTGGCTTTGTTTGACTCCTTTCCCTTACCCTTTCCCTTGGGCGTCTTCTCCGCCCCACCATCTTCTGCTGGATCTTTGGATTGGGGAGGTTGAACGGGTGTCTTGCTAGCAGGTTCGCTGCCAGGCTTGAGCCCCTTGCCAGGCTCCGGCCCCTTGCCAGGCTCCTCCTTGTCTTTCGAGTCTGGCTCTGACCCTGCGGCCTTGCCATCTGCGAACCACGACTGCACAAAGCGCTTCAGGCTGGTCGACTCACTGGCTCTGACGGCAGACCTGCAGTTGCATCGAAAGCTATTGTGGATAGACACAAGCCACATGGAACAACGCGCTGTCTGGAAGTTATACACAAGTAACTGTGTTCAGTATGGACGAGTGACATGTCCCAGCTGGAACCAAAGTCCATGTAAAAAAAGGACCCGCTGGCGACCCCGCACTGGTTCCTGGTCTTGACCACGATCTGGTACAGGCTGTCTGACAAGCCTCGAGACAAATCCATCTTCAAGTGACAATTGGCTCTTCTGCCCGAGGAGACTGGCTGGACTCTTGCCCCGCATCCCACCATGACGGAATACAGATCCTCATTCACATGCCCCGTCTCAAAGGCCACGCCTGAACTGCAAAAGCACTTGCCCTCAGTGACTCAGAGACCAAACAACGCGACAAAAGACACAAAGGTCACAGCTGCAAAGTCCTGCCTTGTGCTCTGACAACTCGTGCTGCGAGGTCAGGGTGTGCATTCACGAGTTGCACAACTGCAGCTTGGCTATCGAAGTGGAGAGCCGAGACGGAGCACACAATCTCTCCGTCCCTGTATGACTTGCGGGCTTGCAGTGCAACCTAAGCCACGTGTGCACTGCAAGGGTTAGTCACCTGCCTGTAACACCGCCCAAATGAAGCCGAGCAGCAGTCTTGCCATCTGACATGGCCAACGCAAGGTCCCAAGCCGAGAGTTCTCTGCGCAAGAGTTTCTCCATCCCAGTCTCCAAGTCTGACACCCGGCGGTTAAGCCCATCAAAGGGCCCAGGCGAGGCACCCAGGCTCACTTCCTTCACATACACGACCTGTTCTTGCCAAGGAGGGGCCTGCATGAAGATGTACGGTATGTCATCTGCCTGCACAGGCCTCGCCCTCTTGTTGCCGATGAGCCGTTTTGCTTCATCCATTTTCAAGTGCGCGGCCATCTCTTCCAGCAGCACCTTGCCGTGCTCCATGCTGTGCCGTGAAGGACCCTGAACGAGGGCGACCACCTGAAGGCAGGGAGCAAGACACGGCAGCAGCACGAAACCCCGAGTAGAGACTGACACAACGCCTGCAAACGCCACAGAGGACCAGCCTCGCCGGTCTGGGTCTGGCATGCCACAAGAGCCCCCGGGTGCGAAGTTCGGGTGGTCACCACTGACCAGGAGGCCTGTGAGCTCTGGAAAGCCCCCTGCAGGAGTTTGACGTAGTGGTCTTGCGCGTTTGCAAACAACCAGACATCGACCTTATACTCCCGGGCCAGCTCTCTTTCGGCCTTGCTCTTCTTCTTCTTCGGGGCTTTGTCGATCTCCACATCAAGGTCTGGCTCACAAAGCTTCTCTGTGACGTCCTGCTCGTCTTGGCCTTGGTCGCGGCCTTCCAAGTCGTCTGACGGG